TTTCTAATTGATTGGGCTAGGAGAGCTTGGAACTTTACTTATGGCCCACCAGTTAAAACTTTGGGGATAACAAAGTAGTTTTAAAAATCGAGTTTGAGGAGAAGCTTTGAAGCATAGGCTTTGTAAAACCATTGGAGAGTTAGCTTGAACTCTGGAAACCTAGTTTCAATCTGTCTATCATTCACATGGAACCTTGTTGGATTAGACTATGGGTATCCTTTTTTACGCTTGAAATTTGGGGGTTTTCCATAGGTTAGTTAACTTGTGTGGAGAGTGTATGGGTATTGATTGGAAGTCCATGGTCAGACTAGATCTGTCTTATGTAAGAACTACAGTGAAAAGAAAGTATTATTCTCCTTTTCTAAAAATATCAGGCTTAAGGATGGAAATGAGGAGCTCTTAATGTTGTTACTTTGGAAGGAGCCTTTGTGATCTTCCTAAGATAAAATATTGTAGCAAAGATTGGATTCAGGTCCGGGGAAGGTGTGAGAAAATGAGGTCCAATAGATCGAGCACTATGGCCCCGGCTTCCTCTGCAAGCTCCTATGTCAATTCTCTGGCTCATGTGACGTGGCCCAATGAGGGTTGGTTTGAATTTCAGATCAGCTATTTTAAATCCCTCATTTAAAACCAAACAATTTTTCTTATCATTTTTCTTATACAATTTTTCTTTTGCATATCCAGTTTTTGATGACCTAAGGTTGTTTGGCTGTATTTTTTGAAGCGTATGTCCAAGATATCAACATCCTCAAAACCTCTTATATCCATGATTTGATCATTCTAAAAAAAACATTGGAATTAGCAAATCTAAGCATTTGGAAAAGCTAGCTTTTGCATTGGGGTGTGCACCTCTTTCCCTTTTTACTTCTTACTTTTTATAGTAATGCTATTATTTTTTAATATCATTATTATTATCATCAACATATTTGATATTATTATTAGCATATGATAATAATATTAATAGGTCTACATCAAGGGTCAGCATTGTGCCCGTACCTCTTTGTTTCAGTTATGGACGCCTTAATCAGGCACCTATAGGATGAGGTACCATGGTGCATGTTGTTCGTAAATGAACTAGTTTTGATCGATGAGACCCAAAACAACATCAACACAAAATTAGAAATTTGGAAGGATGCTATAGAATCCAAAAGTTTTAAAATTAGCCAGAGTAAAATAGAGTATATGGAATACAAGTTCAGTAATAATAGGAGTAGAGAAGATGAAATAGTTAAGATTTACGACAAAAAAGACACCATTTTCAATATCTTGGGTCGAATAATCCAGGAAAATGGAGAGATTGAGGAAGATGTCGCACACTGAAGAGTTGGGTGGGCGAAGTGGAGTTGTGTAGCTGGAATTTTATGTGATTGTAGTATACAAACAAAGTTGAAGGGCAAGTTCTATAAGATAGTTGTGAGACTAGCTTTGCTCTATAGAGCGAAATGTTGGGCAGACAAAATACAGTATAAGTACAACGGAGATGAGGATGTTGAGATGGATGAGTGGTAAGATAAGAAATGATAGAATTCGAAATGAATCTATTCAGAAAAATTTAGGTGTGGCACTAGTCGGTGATATGATGTGAGAAAGTAGACTTCAATGGGTTGGCCATGTTATGGTGCCGACCTAGTATAGCACTTGTTTAGGAGGTGTGAGTTAGTTCAAGTTGAATGATTGAAAATGACAAGAGGTAGGCCCCAAAAAATGTGGATGGAAGTAGTTTGAAAAGATATGGGGACTTATAGCCTCATTGAAGATATGACATTTAACAGAGCAGACTGGCAGGATTCGTATAGCCGATCCTAAATAATTGAAGAAGGGTTATGATGATGATGATTATTATTATATGATAATATATTATTATATTGTACCATAATAGTGACATATAATACTATTATATTTTTATTACAATATTATGTTATAATAATTTATTGTAATATCTATTATAATTTCTTATTATAATTTGTTCTTATAATTTATTATTATAATTTTAAAATTTATTACTATAATAATTTATTATAACATATTATAATAACATTTATTATAATATTACTATAATATATCTTTATTATGATATGAATTAATTTACTATAATATTGATATTATGGTGTAATTATTTTATGTGTGTTTATGTTGTTATTATTATTATTATTGTTATTGTTATCGTTATCGTTATCGTTATCGTTAT